TTTTTTTTTTTTTTTTTTTTTTTTTTTTTTTTCTGGTATTGCTTTCGGTGTTATTTGTTGTAATTAATTTACTGTCTTTGAATGTAAGGACTAACATAGTACTTGTAGGAGTAGGATGGACAACATAATGTGTATGGCAGTTTATATTTTTGTAATAAAGATTTAATTTTTTTTTAAATTTTTGTAATTTCAGTATGTTTGGATGGAACATTGCCTGGTTACCACTTTCATCCTGGATTTGGATCTGGGGCAAATAGTTGGCTCATTCAATTGGAGGTATGCCAATGAGTTTCAATAAGAAATTGAAAAAACTTTCAGGATTTAGAAGTTTCTTTAAATTTGAAATCTTTATGCTGCTGAGATAATTTATAGGCATGCTATTATATTGCATACCTCTTTGGATACTTGACTACAGGGAGGAGGTTGGTGTAATAACATCAGAAGTTGTGTCTTTAGAAAAACTACTCGTCGCGGTTCCTCAAAATTCATGGAAAAGCAACTACCATTCACGGGGATATTGAGCAATAAAGCTGAAGAAAACCCTGGTTTTTTCTCTTCACCTTACACATGCTTGCATTATTTACCTCTGGAGATTACAATATATGCTTACTCAAGTCTTGTGGGTTCTCATTTTTACGGATTTTGTCTATTGTGCACAGATTTCTTTAATTGGAACAGAGTCAAAGTACGGTATTGTGATGGGGCATCTTTCAGTGGAGATAGTCAAAATGAGGTTAGTGAGTGTATGACAGTATAATGTATGTATTTTCCCCCCTTTTTAGCTATATAGTTATCGGTACGTTCAGTCAATTAGCAGTCACCTAGAAGTCAAGAAGCAGAGTTTTGTTTCTTTGTGGGAGTGGAGAGTTAAAATTACACTCCTAGCATTACTCCATTCTCCTACTCATATATGCCATTTCTGCATCGCTTGCAGGCAACATTTGTCACTGAATGATTCATGGTTTCAAAATATAATGCATTTGCTTTTATGACAGAAAGTAGACACACTCATATGTCTATTTTCTAAAATATGGAAATTTTTCTTATGGCAGGAAGAAAACATTTAAAATTTCAACATAAACTATCTTGTCTTAAACATGAAATTAACATATCTATTTGTTTTTATGAATCTTTGCTGGTGTGGAATATATATCTTTTCTAATGAACAGGCTCTTCTGATATCTTTTAGTGCTGGAGAATTGGTTGTGTAAGAAAGAATTTTGCATTTTCTGAATTTATGGGTTTATTGACATGTGAATTTGTTTCAGGCTGCAAAGCTTCAATTTCGAGGACAAAAAATATGGCAAGCTGCAATAGAGGAATTATTGTCCAAGGGAATGCAGAAGGCCAACCAGGTTTCCCATGTCTCTATATTGTAATTTATTAATCATTTTTCGGTATGCATGGATGCTGATTAAAAAATTTGTGTATCAGGCTCTTTTATCTGGATGCTCTGCGGGTGGTCTAGCATCTATAATACATTGTGACGAGTTCCGAAGCTTGCTTCCTACATCCACCAAAGTGAAATGTTTGAGTGATGCAGGGTTTTTCCTAGATGCGTAAGTTATGTTTTGTTTTATATGACATCTACTAGCCCACGCCATTAGCCCTGACACATATAATTGATTATATGTTCAATCATCTAGAGTTGATGTATCTGGGGGTCACACACTGAGGAATTTGTTTGGAGGTGTAGTTAACTTGCAGGTAATATTTAATGATGTAAAAAAAAGTCTAATAAATAGAAAATAACATTTATGGATCTATTTTGTTCTGTGCTCAATTTTGAAGAATCATTTGATTCAAGCTTGCAATGAACTTTCTTGTTACTTCTTTTTACTTCTCTGATACAAGGTTTAGAAAACGTTCATAAATATGTCATGTCATTGGTATTGTTGCAACTGTAGGAAGTGCAAAAAAATCTGCCAAAAAGTTGTCTCAACCAACTGGACCCAACTTCGGTAATTTTTTGATTCTGGCTTCTATTGATAACTTGAAATTATTAAACTTGCAAAATTAAACATATAAAATTTCTTGGTGCAGTGCTTTTTTCCTCAGAATTTGATCAACCATGTTAAGACTCCATTGTTTCTACTGAATGCAGCTTATGATGCATGGCAGGTAATATTAATGAATACACCATTTCTCTTGTAAGTTTATGTTAGTTATGTGCCTAATTATATGCTTGCCTGCTTGTGTCTCTTTATTTATCCAAAGTGTTATCATATGGACGCCATGGTTTCTTGTTCGACTAATTTGTTGTCTAGGATTTAATTTACCTTAGTTTCAAATTGTTCTAGTAGTAGTTTTTTCTACTTCCCCTTTTTTCTTTTCTACAAGAAAAATAAATTTAATTTGGACTTTTACCAACACTCAATCCACACTAAAAGCCTTAGCACAACAGTCACATTTAATTCAACCATCATTGAGAAAATTAGTTTTGAAAGTTAGCAATTTTATGTCTAAGCAAAAGTCCCCAGGGAAAGCGAAGCAGGAATCATATTCGCTATGATTATGGATGATGATCCCAGTTATAGCTGCTGTAACCTGATTACCACTGAATTCTTTATAATATGGACTAAATCTCCCTTTTTTGTTTTCATTAGCTCCAAGAAAGTTTGGTCCCACCTTCAGCAGATCCCAGTGGCTCTTGGAAAGATTGTAAATATAATCATGCACATTGTAACTCATCTCAAATTCAGTTTCTTCAAGGTGACTTTGATCTCTACTACTTTGAAATTGTGAATTGTGCATAGCAATTGATATATGTCTTCAATCATTTGATTTCTTTGTAATATAATACCTCTCTTCTTTGAATCAGACTTCAGAAATCAAATGCTAAATGACGTGAAAGGCTTCTCAGGGACATCTCAAACCGGGTTATTCATAAATTCTTGTTTTGCTCATTGCCAGTCTGAGAGACAAGATACATGGTTTGCTGATGACTCTCCACTCATTGACAAAACGGTATGCATGATTTAGATTTCTGTGCTTATAAAACTGTGCAGGTGGAATATTACATTGGGGTGCTAGGATCATTTACTAATTACTGTATTATTTCAATATTGTTGAAATGTTGCTTCATAGTCCAACTCCAACCCTTTCACGAGAAGGAAAACAGTCATTCAAAAGATATTTAGCCTTCATTTGATTACGGACTGATGTTTGCTGAGGTCTAATGCCTTGAGTGAAATTTATTTACTATTTATTATTCTCAGAAAAGAGTCACCAGATAAGCTGATATATCTTATGGTGCAGCCAATTGCAATTGCTGTTGGAGACTGGTATTTTGATCGGAAAACTGTCAAAGCTATCGACTGTGCTTACCCCTGTGACAATACCTGCCATAATCTGGTCTTCAAGTGAGTGGAAGTTTATTGTCTTTTTCATGTGGCAATTTGATATTTGATCAATATCATCATTGTGATCGCCATTTATGTACTTAACATTCATTAATGGTAATGAAAATAAATATCATTGGTTGGCTGAGGTTGCGATTAATTAGATCTATCTTTTTATTAATAAGTCATGTTAATAAGATTTCTTTGGATTGAAAATATAAAAAAATTAACATTTGAGCTTGTGCTTCTGCTGCTACCCTTTTTATTCTTTGAAGATATTTCCCATTCTAATATTTAGCAAGGATTCCAAATCTGCGCCTTAAGGGTGTCTCCCTTTTTCAATTTATCACACCACATCACCTTTCGAGGTTCCTAGAAAATGATGGAACGGTATTTTGGAAAGAAGAAAAAAAAAAGGAGAATGAAATGTGATTCCTGAAAATCTCAGTTTCATAGAACTTGTACTTGAAAGGCACCACCTGAAAGGGTCCTGACTTGATTTTTAACACTTGCTCTTTACTAACAAGATTATAGGTATGATAAACTTTGTTAATAAGCCTTTTATTTTATTGATCAAAAAATTGTAGAACTTGGGTAAAATAGGAATAGATTTCAGTTTCTGTATTCATTCTCTCTCTCTCTCTCTACAAGGTGGATTCCCGTGTCTTGTGCACCCCCTGCTGTAATTTGCCTTTTTGGCTCATAAACCCTTGAACATCATTACCAGTGCAATATTCTGGTCAGAGCTCCAGAGTAGCCCTCTGATTGTTAAGTCCTTTCCAGTTTCCACTACTATCTAGTTTGAAAGTTTCTCATTGCTTCCTTTTTTGTTTTTCTTTCAAGTATAACAAAAATTGCACCGTTTGTCTTTTGTTCAATTCCACTGTGACATTGAGATTGACATTTTCCTGCTTTGCAGTGCTGGTAGATCTGCTGTGGTGGACTACCAGTCCACAAGGTTGAATTTAATTTCACCCTCCATTCCTTTCTGAATGCCATCTTTGTAATTCCTCAATGAGACTGAAATTCTCATTTTCCTCCTTTGCAGTGATGATGACACATCTACCATCACCATGATATATTCCCGCTCCACGAGTCTGTCTTTTAGTACTGGCCTGTATATGCTTAGTGTTTTATTGCCAATTACATGTTCCTATTCCTAGTGCACCATGGCATGTACACAGTTTTAGCCCAAAAAAGCAAATGCACTATGGGCAGGTTCGAATGTACCTGTTCAATCTTCCACTCAAGGCACTTACGATTATCTGTCAGCTGTTAATTACTCGGTTTAAGGCCTGAAGTCAGCAATACATGTTTTAGGACGTAGTTTCCTCGTCTAATCATCTAATTAGTTGCAGCCAATTGCATGGTTTACTTTGTAATCTCAATTTCGGTTGCAAAGGAGTTCAAGAAAGGGGTTATTGAAATTTGAATTACATCAAGGTGCTACATAATTATAAACACTACCTGCTCAAAATGGAACAGTTGGCATATGATGTTTGTGTTGTAGTTTGAAGAAAAAAGCGCTCGCTACAATTAACATTATTAAGGTGTTAGGTTATTGAAGTTTGGATGGCATCAGGATGCTATATAAAGACATACAAGTTTAGGGTTTAGGGTTTAGGGTTTACAGAAGTTTGGATGACATCAGATGCAATATAAAGACATACAATCACAAGTTTTACAGAAGGGATACAAGGAGTAGAACGTGTGCAGGTTACAAAGGTTACAACAATCCTATAATTGTAAAGAAATTAATTAGCTATATAAGATTAAAAGGTTATATATATATATATATATATATATATATATATTCAATT